TTCCTAACTAGATAGTTTTTATTTTTTTAAAATAAAACCTTAATTTATACATACATCAAATTTAGGAAAATATTGTACAAGATCAATTTTATCCTGTGCCAAATGAGTGGGAAAAATCCAACTATACTGCTCACATTGATTCCCAGAACTTCATCTCTTGCCTAGTTTGGATTTGGATTTGGATTTATATAGACTCAAATCCACACATGTATGTACAAACATAATCATAGTCCACCGGCAATTCCCAGGGTTTCTAATCATTGATGATTAACTGCTTTTATGAAGTCTGGCAATGCCGTCCAGAAATGGAAAATCCCTGTCAAACAGATGTCTGGTTTGAGGGATGCATTCCTTGATAATTTCTTGGATATAACAGACTAAGGCGAGATTGCCTTCAACAATATGTAGTCCAGTTTGTCCTCCAGTGTAAATCCAAGCCCAGACTACGCCGCTTCCTTCATACTGCACTGAAGGGAGTACGGACTGGGGCATTGTACGCATCCCCTGTTCTCGGTAGACACTTCGGTGCCTGCTATTACTGTACAGGCAGAAATGTGACTCATCAGTAAATAAAACAGCATTCCATTTGGTGTTCTCTTCTAGGCGCTCGCTGCACCATATTCTCCTGAGTTGCTGGTGCTGGGCTGTTGGTGCAGGTCCTCTCAAAGAGGCATACGATGTGAGGCAAACAATTACAAATTGCTTGTTCCTTGCCAAAAAAAATCTTAGACTTCATTTAGGATCTGGCAGGCACTATGGAAAGGGTTTCATTTTGCAACAATGACAATATTTCTATCCCCCCTTAGCACCCTAATGCACTGAGATCCATTACCAGGCCTCCTATAGGTACTTCCAGTCTCTCAGAATCAATCTAAAGCCTGGGAGACCACACTCTCAGAAACGCCAACTGTGATATTCACTAGCCGGTGACCTCAATATCTCATTCTCACAATAATACTGTGAACATCTGGTTCAAAATGATGTTGTTCCATGGCTAAAGAGAATACAACTGGATTAAAATGGAGAACAGATGAGCAAAGGTGTTAGTTTACAAAATGAGCAATCTGTTTACTATTCTTAAGTAAATCGGTTATTAAAAATGTGGATTAAAATTTTTTTGTTTTTTCGGTTAATTTAATTAAAATTAATTGAATAAGAATAAATTATAAATATCCCTAATCATTTTTGAGCTGTTTATTTCTGCAATGAATATTTTGTACAGAGATAGTAATAAATAAAACATATAAAAAATAGAAAAATAAAACAAAATAAATAAATACAGTAAGAAAATAATTCTAAATTAGTGATTAATTTGTATGTCTTTTTAGCAATTAATACATACAATTAAAATTAAATTAATAAATCAGCATTTAGTCAAACAGTATTTATTAAGGTAATATTTAGTTGTTTTATAATTCCCGCTTTTCGCACGTTCAAAATTGAGCGGCAATAAAACCCAGCTTCTAATTGGAAAGTCTCGTTGGCGGGAAATCGGCTGTAACGGTTTCACTCTTACAATTCGTGTCGAGAGACGCGGTTGTATCTCCTTCAACCTATTGATGAGCTATAAGTACGAAATCCGCATAATCGAAAATAATTAACTGTGAGTAAGAACCAACTTTAATAAAGGATTAAACAACATCCTTTATCATTTCTATTTCTTATAAGTGTTCAGCATACACATAAGTCAAACTACACAGAATTTCATTTCCCATTTTTGCTGTAGATTATTACAAATTTCGAATTACATTAAATATAGACGCACTTGAAACCTGATAAACTTTCAAAAACTTCTCCAAATAATTAACTTTAACTTGACTAAATTCATCATCAGAATTGACTGTAGCGAGTAAATACAACCACAGCGTCAAGGCTTTTTTAAATTCTGAAATGAATCCTCTTTACAATAATACACACCCCATTTACAATTGTACATTTGGCATGCTACTACATATCAAAGCTATTAGAAATTTCAGTTTATTATTCCTTTTATGTACGGTCTTTATTGAGATTAAAACGCTAGTGTCACGAGCGGGATTCGAACCCAAGACCTTTGGCTCAATATGCCGCTGCTCTAACCACTTGAGCTATCATGACGAGCACAAGTGGTTAGTATAGCGAGGCGGTTATTGAGCCGAAGGTCATGGGTTAGAATCCTGCTCGTGACACCAACTTCTTTCATCTCAATCAAGACCTTAGGTAAAAAGAATAATTAATATAGTCAATTATGATCGCTAAACATATAGGGCTACTAAAAATTTCCATTTTATTAGCTGACGAAAAATTGCCATTGAAGGTTTAAAAAAAATTACATAGATTTTCCAGAATTAATTGTCATGTTTGTACAATAAATCGTATTCATCTCTTTTTTTAATTATTGTTACATTTAATACCATTTTTTGTGGGATCTGATAGATAATTTCATAAGTAAACTACATTTAAATTATTCTCAACACAGAATGTAATCTTTGGTTTNCCGCGAGTGTTGAATAGTGTGCACGGTTAACTGGTTCATCGTAGCTGTTTAAAGGCAAGGATTGTTGCCTTCAGAGGGTAAATTTTATTTATATAATGTCAACTTTTGATATGTACCTTGTCTACCTATTTCTGATTTTAACTTAATTTTTTTTTCTTTTACCAGGAGGGGTTTACAAAGTGTAATTCAACTCTCTCTGCTGGCAGTCAGGTTAGTGAGCATGTTAGTATAAATATTCTATTATTTCCCCAGCAGCCAATATAGTCATCTTAGTCATATATATGTATATAATCAGCTTGGTTCAGCCCTGTCTGCCTATATTAAATTAAATACAAATTTTAATGGAATCAGTGTTACGAAAATAAAACATCTATCTTACCTTTTACAAATTTACACTTAGAACAGTTAGAAGTTTAAAAAATATGTGTTTTCCCAGCTAGATAAAGTTTTTATTTTATAAAAATTATACTTTAAATTATTGATTCATCAAACTTCAAAAAATGTTATACAAACAAAGGTCAATTTTATCTTACGCTAAAGAAATGGGAAAAATCCAACTATACTATTCACATTGATTCCCAGAACTTCATCTCAATGCCTAGTTTGGATTTGGATTTATATAGGCTCAAATCCGCACATGTATGTCCATACATACAAACAAGTCCTTGTAGTCCACCAGCAATTCCAGATTTTGCTATTTATAGTAAACTGCTAACATACTCGAGAATCACCTCGGGTGTTAGCAGTCTAGGGGCTGACCTCAGTCTAATCCATATAGCCACTGAAGTTGTGCTCGGGGGGAGGGGTGTGCTGTCTACAGCTAGGTCACTTCAGCAGCCAACGCATACAACTCCCAACCTACTTGTACGCACGTACATTCATTAATTCATTTACTCCTATTTCACATATCATTCATTCAATGAGGGTACGGAGAGAATTCGATTTTCAATTCCTCCATCAATATTTACCCATATTATACAACTAACCCAATGGGGTACTCGATATTCCACCATCACTCATTCATACTAATAAATACGTTCACTCTCAGCTCAACACAAGCTAGATATACACAACTATTATTACTATATACAACCCGGCTTCCTCCAAGGAAGGGAACAGAGGACCCCCTCGCTGCCAAGCTCAAGCACAGTTCTCAAATCGGGTGGCATTCCTGCGTGCTCTCTATATGGAGCTCAATGTCTTGTTGCAAATAGTAATAATGTTAATAATAATAGCTCTTTATTGGTAGAAATACATTATTTTACAATGTATCCAACTGAAGTTTTCAAAGTGAATATGTTTTCACGGGGCTTTGGTGGCCATAAAGGTTTAGATGGCGATGTGGCACTCATCACTATAAGGTAAATGGCCCAGGTTTGAATCCAGCTGCTTCATTCAACATGAAATAATTCCAATTTTTAGTATGTTTTTTAGTGACTTGTTGTTTCGTAGTTTGTTGAAGTCATGGGGAGCGGTCAATAATGAGGTGGTTTAGAAAAACACCTTTTTTATTTTTTTTGCCGATGTTTTGACCTTTATTCGGGTCATCTTCAGGGCACCCCCACTTTTTGCCCTGAAGATGACCCAAATAAAGGTTAAAGTGTCGGGATACAAAAAAGAACCATTTGGAAAAGTTAGATTCCGTAGTTAATATGATTGGGGTGTTCAATGACATTAAGTCAATTCAAATTTTATGAAATACTACAATGAATCATCAGTGTTTAGTGGGGAAAAACGAGGTCCAAGTTTAGAGAATTAACAGTTTTATGTATACAATTGTAGTCACAGTTTGTGGTAATATTATAAAGAGAGAAGTTGGATGAGCGTAATATGATAGCTCCTTTATGTGCTAAGAGGCAAAAAGTAGCTACCCTTAATATTTGTAATTATCTTTTAGACAATCCTACATTGGTTATCTTACAACAATATTTGGTCCATTTTAAAGGATTAGAGGTAAATAAATCATTGATAAAATCTTCTAATGGTGTTTATAATTGGATTTTGGAAACAATCTCTTCTTTGTTGGTTTTCTGTAAATCTTTTTTCTAACATTCCGGTAGTTTCATTTTTAAGTTGTACCATTTTTCAGTTTAGCTGTACCACTGTATACTATGATAGTTCCATTGTTTATGAGAGTTGGGACATTTTTGTGTCCATTCATTTATCTTATTACAAGCCTTTTGAAGGATTTTGGTTGAATGGTTGATGGTCAATCCTATTGATATCACCGCTGTCATCCGCAAACGTTGCAATTTTTACTCCATCTATTTTCGGAAAATCACTGGTGTATAACAAATAAAGTAGTGGACCTAATATGCTACCTTGTGGTACACCTGCATGTATTGTTTTTAATTCTGAATATTATTCTTGTTTGACTCTAAAATGGCTGTCAGTTAGGAATTTATACATACTGCGAAAGTCAGTAGATATTGCTAATGTATGTATAATTGGGCTGTTTGTCACATATGACCCGTGACGATACCCGTTTGAGATGAGGTCACGAGGAAGGTTGGCGGATGGTATCAGCAGGTAGTTTGTTACCTTCCGCAAATGAGGTCTGGCTCTCACGTCGAACCTAATCTATATAAAGTAACTGTCGAGTGCTTTTGATTGCTTGACGTTATTATGGGGAGCAAGGCGATCGGCCTCCTTTTGGGGAAGTGCGTGCCATCGGTGAAAACCAACGCGTCCAAGATCTGCGTGACGAAGCTAGAGTTGGACGAAAATTTGCTCATGTATTTCAAGAATTTGTCTTTCTTGTATGCCGACGACCCTGGTCGAGTGTGCAAGACCGGTGATATCGTCCTCGTCGAAGAGCTGCCCCAGAAAATGTCCAAACTGGTTACGCACCGGGTGAAGAAGGTCGTCTATCCCATGGGAGACGTGACGGACCCCATCACAGGTGAGAAAGTCGTCTCGTCCACATTCAGAAAAGACATCGGAGAAATAAGCCAGCTCGTAGGTAAAAATGAGCAATCATTCGACTACGATTCGGCCCCGGCCAGGGGTTGGCAAGAAGGGAAGAAAGACTTCACAAACAAGAAAACCTACATCAAATACCACGAAGTTCCAGGCCAAGATGATCCATACGCTTTGTAGTCAACGTATTCATAAAATCGTAATGTAGTACTGTACATATGTTCAAACAGACTTTATTGTTATATTCCTAATAGTTTGTATTATTATTTTAATATAATGTTGTCTAACATTGTTTTTATTTACTTAAAACTTTGAAACTTATAGATTTTTGCAAGATTTCAAACAAACCACAGACACAATAAAAGCACTATATTGACATTATCCCATGATATACATATACACTGACAAGCAAAAAATTTCACCCACTTGTAATAGAATTTGATTTGTATATATTTTAATATATTAAACTTATATTTTAATAAATTAAAGTTTAACGTTTAATAATTGAGTCTTTGTCTAAGAAAGTATTTAAAAAAATTAATTGTTTAGAAAAATGACAAAAACAAATGGACAGATAAAATTTGTTTTAGATTTTTACATAACATTTCAATATCGCGTATTTCCTTCTCTTGCCTCAATTACATTTTAACTCACCTTGGCATACTTTCTACCAGTCTGGACATATCTCTTGCTGGAGGTTAGCCCTTTCTTCACGAAGAGTTTTTTCAAGATCATGGAGTGTATCAGGAAGTGCTCTTATTTGTCTTTTGTGGTCATCCCATAAATGTTCGATGGGGTTCCAGTTTGGAGAACGGGCTGGCCAGGCTAAGACCCTGATGTTATGTTGTGGAAGGTATGTTTCTACTATGCGAGCGATATGTGGATGGGCATTAGAACAGGATTGCCACTGATTTCATTGAGAATGGGCAATGCATGATGTTCCAAAATTTCATCCACATAGCGAGTGACCGTCAAAGACCCTCCATGAACAACAACCAACTCTATGCAACTTTCCATTGAAAAGGTTGGCTATGGGAAAAATTACAGACTTTGTACCTTTTTCACCTTCTCCACACTCTTTTACGCCCATCATAGAGCAAATCTACACTCATCTGCAAAAAGTACAGCAGACCAATGGCTGTGTTCTCAAGTAAATGCGAGCTGTGCAGTTCGGTGTTTTCAGGCCAATTCTGATCCTCTTACTAACAAGCCATCAGTCCATTCTGTTTTAATCTTTTGCAAGCAGTGTGTTCAGAAATTTGGACACCACAAACTTCTTGGAGCTGATGAATCTCTTGAACAACATAAGTTGCCAGTTTCACGAAACTCTAAAGTCAAAAAACGGTCTTCTTGTGGTTATGTTACCCTAGGGTGCCCAGAGCCAGGCCTTCTATGGATATGACGTAGTTTATTGAAAACGTCTAACGGTGTCTTGCTGTTTTGTAGGGAACTCCAATGGCAATAGCCGCAAACCTGATGGAACGTCCTTCATCAATAAGTGCCATATCACGCGCAACATCCTCAGCATTAAATGGCATTTTTATGTTTAAAAATTGAAATTAAGAAAGCAAAGATGAAATAGTTTATTGGTTCAGAATTCAAATGAGACTGAAATCATTTTTAAGTTCTGTAAAAAGAAAACATCGAAAAATCTTTTATCCTTGTTTTCAATTAAGGATTAAGGTGTTTACATCTAATTGAGATTCCCATTTTAAAACATAGCTTAAATAAATATTTATTGATAAAAACAATGAGACAAATATGAGGCAGAATTTTCTTTTATTGAGAAAATTAAAAAAAAATCAATTGGGTGGAATTTTTTGCCTGTCAATGTATTTCAAAGTATTTCTTAATTCATTTGCCTCTCTCACTAGTGCATATCAATTTTTACTGTTTTTTCCAGAGCCATATCCCCATGTAAGGTATAATGTTTGAACCACTTGCACCTGACTTCTGATTATGTAGGGCATGTGGTCAGGAAGTGAAACCAGTTGTCGAGGGTTCCAGGTTGATAGTGTATAATGCAATCTGAGGTTCAACATAAACTTTCATCATTTGTTCGTTGAATTTTTGTGACAATTGTCCTAGCAATTCCTACTCCATTGAAACTTAAGTTTAACGTTTTATATTAGGTTGCAACCCTCCAATGCTGAGCTAACTTTGTATCAACCTACTGTATATTACAAAGCTATTGATCTCATTGCTGCAGATGTTATTTCTTTGAAGCGTTTAGTCAACAATGTGGTAGATACAGTTATGCGAAGGTATTTATAGGTTGGTCCCCATCTTTGATGATGTCTCTTAAATCAATCTACACTTCCAGGTCATTTAGTAAGAGAGTATTAGGCTCAGGATAGCAACTTTTTTAAAAATAAATACATCCTATATGCTTTTCAATTGATCCTAATTTTCCATTGACAGAAAACACAGTCCATTTTAATAATAATCTCATTTACAATCTATTCACCGCAGCACTTAAACCATAAGTTGTGATGAGTGCTGCATCGTTGGCAGAAAATGTTAGATTTAGGTTCGTAATCATATGTAAAGGTATGACTACATACTGAAGTTTACATATGAAAGTAATGTTTTAGGTGAGTAATTTGGGAACTTGTAGTTAATATTAGTATAGTAAGTTCTTTTAATGTTCACCATAACAATCAGATGATAAAAGTTTTGCGTCGTCAACAAACAAAGCTATGTTCCTCATTTGTTTAGGTTCCTCGATAAATCGTTCAGGATATGATAAATATATCAGGAAATGAGTCAGGCCAAGCACAGAACCTTGTAATAATTATATTTGGCATTGTTTTTAATTTCTATCACAATAGTAAGATGGTCCATGCTTATTAGCATTTTTTTCCGATATGGAAACTAAAATGAAATAATGAATGCAGATAGACTCCAAGGTATTTAACTATCTTAGCCCATGGTTTTGGCGAGTTATTTATTTTGACATGATATATGGTCTGTGTCAAGTAAAGATTGCCTCACTCTTTCTACCATTAGGTCTCCATTTTTTGAAATATTTAAGACACCTATCTATAGCTACTGATAATTCTCTGCAGATAGAACATAATAATAATAATAATAGTAAGTTGCTTTATTTAAGAATAATTACAACTTAGTAAAAAAAGAAGCCATATAAAAGCATATACAGCTTGGATATCTATCAGACAGAGTGTGATACATACTTTTGCTGTAATAATAATTAATAAAAATAATACAAAAGAAAACTATTGTAAAGATGCTATATTATATACAAATAAGAAATGCATTATAATCTGACATTTAATTAAAAATCAAATTATATCCAATTGAAATTGCATTCAAATATTGAAAAAAATAATAAAAAATAATAAAAACAAAATATAGCATAAAAAAATGTTTAATATGATCAACAATAATACAACAAGATAAAAATTAATAATTAAATTTGTTAACTATAACTACTAACTTAATATCTGTAACACCAAGCAGAGCAGACATAATTTACAAGATTCAAACTGTCTACAGTGTTTAGCATTTTTTAAAAATCTTGTTCCTATTAAAGAACAGGCACCAAGATGTCACATTCTGAATTCTCCTCACACTGGAATATTACCAAAACCACATCCTCTCTTGCCCCTAAGTTACACAGTGAACACAACTCAACCCTCCTTTCAACTCATGTGGTGAAATTTAAGTAAAGTAATTCACCTCTCGTCTTAAATAGCCAACACTGATCCTAAGATCACCTCTCACCACCAGTTCGGTGCGAGCGCCATAGGAAATGCCATGCCAGAATATCAATGAACCGTGTAATGCCACCTGAGGAATTTTACAGCATGGGGTGTTCCTTTCTCCTGAGTGTCTCCATATGAAATTATGCCCATCTGAAGATTTAAGGTCAAGTCTCAACTCATCTATAAAGAGAACTTGTTCTCAATCTTCCAATGTTCAATTCACATGCAAATTGAACCATAGCCATTTTCTGAGCTGGTAAGAAGAGGACCACGAGCTGGGTGCCGGGCCCTGCAGTTATTTTCATTGAGCTTTCTTACAGTCCTAGAAGTAATTGAAACATTTCTGATCAGGCATCTTATCAGATTTCTTATCTCATTTCCTAAAATGCTGCGGTTTTGTAGAGCGTGAAAAAGATGGATCTATCTTCTCTTCAGGTCGACCCTGCCTTCTTGTGGAAGCCTTGTTACTCTGAAGCGCTGAAGAATTCTTCCTATTGTAGGGTGATTTACACTTATTCTCCTGACTTCACATCCTGCATACTTCCTCTAATAATGTTATGGCCCTGGTACTATCATATTCATTCAAATACCTGTCTGGAGCCATTGAAATTTTTTTTTAAAACAAGAATAATTCAAATGAAATCAACGAGGTAAAAAAATTAACTGAATGTGATCTTTAGGCATAGCAGATTGGAAGTGGGATTAATCAGTATAAAATTAAACAAAGGAAGTAACGAAATCATAATGTATTCTTTACTTTGACTACGATAGCACTTAATTACCTGTAACTAATATAGAAAGATAAGGGATTTAATTTTAAACTAAATAAATTGAATGGTGTATTCAATTTGTCCATCACTGCATATTCAATATTAAGATCAAAAGAATTGATTAGGCAATTCATAACTATATTGGTGATTCTATTTTACTAATTAAGAACGAAAATTAAAAATTATTCGGTGCTGTGTGTAGTTTTTGATATTTATTAATTTGTTAGTCTAATGTTAGAAAAATATTTATTTAGAAACTAGTGGAAATTAGTGTAATCATGATCAGTAATTTGTAGGCACGAGGAAGCAAAGTGTAGCAGTATGATTCTCATGTTATGAAAATATGTTAAAGCATGGGCATGAAAAAATTATAGAATTTATTAATTCTTGTAACTCTGCTTTAAACCACATACAAATTCTTCAGCTTTGATATAATTCAGTCGAGTCGAGCTGATAGAACGACAAGTACCAAGTGACTCCAAACGACCTGACCTACCCACAGGTATCACTCTCGGTAGGTCGGCTTATAATCAAATAGGTTTTGAAACTTCCCATCACGGAAGAAATTATTAGCGATTTCTATGTGCAGCTGGCATAGGGTGAGCTAACGTTTTCAGCCCGAGTAGTAAATTGTAGGGGTGTAGACCATCTGCTGGCTTCAGATCCCTCGCGACCTGCCCTAGTCTTACAGTCATTGCCCCTATAGTGGATCAATAACAATATCCATGGGATACAACCAAGACCCCATGATCTCGATCCGTCCGATAATAATGGTTACAGCCTTACAACAGAATACAGACTCGAGATATTAATTTGCAATTGTCTGTTTGATTCCGTTGTAAACTTAAAATGTACTTTTCTAACCGACCATTCAAATCGCCTGGATTCCAGACAGGAGTCGAGACGTATAGACGTACAACCGTATGGACGTATGGAAAGTCACGACAGTTTTAATATGATTGTCGTGGAATTTGAAAAACACAGTTTTGGTTCAGACATACTTCTCAGCGGTGTAAAAGAATGAAATAATTGATTGGTACATGAAAAAATACATATAAACACATTATACAAAATATACATTCATACAAAAGTATACATATTATATCCATATATAATTCTGTTGAGTAAAATATATATACATAAGTTCGTTTTGCCTAATATACTGGACTTTAGAAAACAACTGAAATGTATACCAATAGATGCGACACACAAATATTTCGGATCTTCTAAAATATATATATACATATACCAATGCCAGCCCAGTAAAAGTAAAACTTGTGATGTGGGCTGTGGTTGTAGTGTCTTTCAATCAATACAATTAATCTGGTACTTATTATTATCGCATTATAATTACCTGAGATATACATATTGTTTAATATTACAATTTTATTACATATAGATTTATTAGATATATAATTTTTTATATTTTTTATTGATTTTTTAAGACTCCATTTTAAGCCCATTTAATCTATAATTTAAATTTAGGTTTGCCACTTTTTCTGGTTTTGGATTAAATTTCTTACCTTATTTACATTCCTCAAAACATTCATTACAATGAAATTTAAAAAATACTCATTTTTATACCAACCATAAGTGCATGATTTGAAAAGAATCAAGTGTTACGTTTACGGAGTCATTTGTGTGATTCAGATTGAATATATAATTTAGTTGACTAAATATTTTAAAATTCATATGCATTACAAGTAAAAAAAAATTCTACATGACAATAGTCCTTCAACCGTCTTTCAGAGCCACAATGTACATGAATAATAACTTAACACATTATTAAAATACAAATTAATATTACACATACCATAAAAAGTTCATAATTATTGATAGTTGAACTTTTAATTTTAAATGAATGAATCATGCAAGAGGTGGATATGTAAAATTATTTTAAGTAGGGTGTTGTAACATATAAAATATTCAAAATGCATTTTCTTTAAGAACCCCATGCAACACTTCTTATTTTAATGAAAACAAATTAAACGAGATCAGAAATTTGTAATTAATTTAATGAAAATTATTTAATAATGTGGTTGGATAGAAAATGTACTACAACTCAGGGGAAAGATTAAAACCGAATTGTCAATTTATTTCCTGGTTTTGCTCTTAATAACCCGTATTACATCCTTTGGTCTCGCAGAGGGCCTTAAGTGTCCTAGTAGGCATCGAGGAAATAAGTGATCGATGATTTCGTCTTGTTAAAAATAATCCCATTCTTCAACAAGTGAGGTTTGAAGGTGTTCAACGCTTGTTGGAGGCGAAATGTGTCTAACCAGTCTCTCTACCACGTCTCATAATTGTTCTGTGGGATTCATGCCAGGATAACGTGCTGGTCAATTCATCGTTGGAATCCCTACAACCTCCAAGTAATAGGTGATAACTCATGTGTGTTACATGCGGTGGACCATTATCAAGCGTTAACAGGAAATTGTCCCAAATAAATGGAGCGAATCGGACCACAGCATCCAGAATAACTTCCTCAATGAACCTTAGTACAATCAAAGATTCATGCTGTATGTTAATTAGTCGTTAATTCTGCCATACCATGACTTCTTTGAAGACGCTGCGATCCACGCATGGCACATCAAGAAAACCGGTCTTTACACATGGTCAACTTAATATTTAGTCTATTATCCAAGATTGACAGCAATGACTAGAGAAGAAGTTTGTGAAGTCGTTTACTGAACAACTGCTTGATGCCCGATCAATCTGAAACATGGATATCCAAATTTTCTGGCTTATCAGTTATGAATTTAGCATTTTCGACATTCGAAGAAAAAAAATCGAAGAATAGTGAACTGAACCGTTTAGTCGTTAAACATTAAGCCAAATAAGTTATTGATGTAGAGAATAAATAGCAAAGTGCTCAGAAATTTGCCCTACGATTTAACACAAGAAACATGCTTTGGGGAGCTATTTGTTTTATTTATTCTAATTCGCCGTTTCCTATCAGATAGGTAAAAAAAGAAGTTCTATGCATGAACATAGATCTTATTATTCTCAAGATTCTTTAATAGTAATTACTAACTAATAGTTTCGAATGTCGATAAATAGACCAATAACAAAATTGGATTTGTCAAGATGTTGACAAATATAAATCGTCTCGAAGAGAGAACACTTCTCAATATAAAAACTTTGAGTAAAACCAAATTAATTTAAATTAAAATCTGTTTTGACACGTAAGATAAATTTTCCTCCCTAAATAAGGTGGTTTCAGTTTTGGGGAAATGCTTTTTGATTTAGATTTGAAATCATTCTTAAACGGTGTTTGTATTGTTCTAAAGCTCTATTGCACCCATGGTCAGTGGTGACCTGAGTCACTTTATAATGATTCAGTCAATTTATAACTCTTGATAAGTGATAAATTTTTTTGCGTTCATAAACGATCGGGAAGAATTCGTTCGTCCTTTGACCACTGCTTGTATTGCGCCATTCATCGTTTCATAATTCTAACTTTTTTACGTGAATTTGTTTCATAAGAGATAACGACTTTTTACAGTAGCAACACATTGGGTGGCACCGTTTGCTACTTCCTTTACTACACTTACATTATACTACCAACATGCACTTTATTCCAATTGAATCGAAATGTCCAAAACACAACTTTCAGAAGCTGGTTAGTATTTTTCTAGCTTTCTCAGCAAGCTCTGTTCGATTTTGGATAAAGATGATGTTAAATTATAGGTCTATAATTAGAAGAAATTTTTGTCTTTATGAAGGTGAACTAAGATTGACAAAATGATATATTCTTTAAACCCATCTAGAAACTTCCCCGTAGTGAAACATAAGTTGAATATAAATGTAAGAGTCCTGAAATGGAATCTGAGTGTATGTACTACGTCCTAATGAATACGTCTATGTGCGGCAAAGAAATGTAGTTTTACTTACTTTTATTATATGACTTGACTTATCCCATTTACCTACCTATCCAATCGAAGGTCTAATTGAATAACTGCATAAGCAGGGTACGATAATCGGCAAGTGCCCTAAATTTGTATTAAAAACTAGGTAAGTATCAGTGCATCGTGATAACAAACAAAAAATCAAGATATAATTAAATACATTTAAAATCCTCTTTACTAGAATAACTGCATTGCATTTGATGAAATTTAAGCACGACGAAAACAAAATTACTACAATAATTGAATTTTGTACCCAAAGTTTAAAGCATAAAATCACACTAGCAGAATCATGTTGAAATTATAAAGTTTGATGTATATGTATACATATTTTTTAATTTTGTAGGAATTGACCTGCAAACAACATAAACAATTTATTACAAGGGCAGATTGGGAAAAGGTTAAGATTAAGATTAGAGTAGGAGTCGGCCTCTTTTCGACCTGCGTACCACGAACCAGTATTGGTTTATCGTGAATATCCATCGTTATCTAGAGCTCCTCATTAGTCTTAAGTTTATTTAGAAATCGTGAGATGCGGTCTGGTGTGATGTAGGTTTCAGAAAAACATTTTCTTTATCGTGCCAACGTTTCGATCTTTATTGACATCATCTTCAGGGCTCAAAGTGTTTGTATGCGCTTTAGTCCAACTGTCCAAAACATAACTTTCTGAAGCTGGTGTAGTATTTTTATAGTTTGCTTCGCAAGATCTGTTCTTATTCTTCGATTTTGGTTAAAGATGATGTTTAGGTTATAGGTATATGAGTTTTTTTGCCTCAACCTTTATGAAAATGGACTCAATGATAGATTCTTTAAACCCATCTGGAAGCTTTCCGGTAGTTAAAAATAAATGGTATATAAATGTAACAGGTTTGATTACCAATAAACCAAGTCTTTAGATGTCTAGATCTTTAGATGAAATCATGATGTCATTTGATAACTTACCAAAAAAAGTGGAGTGGTTTTCAAGTTTATTTAATTTGTTTAAAAATGAAATTCACTATCCATTGGACGAAGGAAAACAGAAGGTAGAATATAAAACCCAAACGATTCTAAAATGTAGGGCAAAGAATGATATTTTTCTAAAAATTACGGCTGCTGAAATAATTAATGCTCATGTATCCTGGTTTAAGGCACTCAATTCACTAGGAGAACTTTGTGTTCTCCTTATCAAACATGAAGAATGATTCTCGGCTTTTGAATCATCCATTCGTTTTAGGCATTTGAAAGTTGTACCAAACTGGCTTTTAGATACAATATCACGATCAAGTTCTTTGTAAACTACAATATTATACATTACATTACTCTACATTACTTGATCATTTAAAAGCATTTTTCGACTTGACCAATAATAATCTAAAGTTGCCCTCTCAATTTAAGTTAATTCTTCAAACTTAGGTGCGAATTTATCTACCTTAATTACTCCTCTCTGAGAGATGTTTCTGTTGAGCGCATCTTACTGTGTAATTCCCGCCCGAAAGACGACCTCATCCATTTTTTGGCTGTGCCGATTCTTTGAGATGTTCTGCTTTTTGGAACTACTAGAGGTTTTCATTCATAAACAATGATATTTTTCTATTTGATTGCTTTATTTAACTTAGACTTGTCCCGATGCCCCTGCTTACGAATTTCCAGATGATGCAAGAGAAGCTTGTTTAAGAGTTTGAGAATAATTTTTCCGGGATACACGTCATATTTTTCGGCGATAAGAAAAACTACCCAAGCCGACGAGGAAGACTAGAACTCAGAGCAAGCAGAAAAGGGCGACGAGCCTTCCTCGACGGCTGTATACGACGGTTTCTTGAAAGGCATGGTATTCCCTGCTGAAATCATGGTAAATGGATCAGTATAAAGCCGACGGCAAGTAGCTTATTAAAGTACACTTAGACGAGGGACAGATGATGCCAATTTTGAATTCCGAGATGCTTCTTTGTAATAAATAGATTTAAATTAACTAAAGATTCATACCTTATTCATTGATTTTGTCCAGTCGCTATGAATAAATTTAAAAAACGATCAAATTTTAGAGTACACCCACTGAATTGAAACTCCAGCTGTATATGGCTTACGTCCAATAAAGTTAACTACATGAAAAAAATCCGTTAAAACTTCCTTAACAGCTGAACTATATACAAAAAAGCTATAAAGTTTAGAACATGTTAATATTGTATATTTACTCAAGCCTTTGTACAAAAAATGAGTCACTTAGGGTCGTCTATCCGCTATTAAATGCAAATAATATCTAGGTCAGACAACTTTGATAACATGCTAACTTTCGCGAAGAGTTACTGCATTTCACTTCTTAATGACATTCGAAAAACTTTGTCCTATTCATGAGCTTCCTATAACAACTAACGAATGTATGCATTTGAATAGGGTTTCACTTACGAATGTTGTTTCTCAAGTTTTATTTTTAAAAAAGTTTATTACAAGTACATTTTCTACAACTGCTATAAATTTTGTTTTTGATATTTTTACTGACACAATGTACCTACGTTCGGATACCGTTGGCTCATCAACAATAGAGGTAGTATCAGATAAAAATCTTACTTGAAACGTGGGAAAAGAGGCCATCACAATAGCCACGGGATGCGATTTCACTGGAGAACATTTTGAAGATGAAAAAATCATATTTTTTTATTTAAGTAAATAAAAAGCATAGTGTAAATCCACCAATCTTAAGGTCATTATATTTGTTCATTATATTAATCCATATATGTTTAGCAGTCATAATGAACCGTATTAATTATTTCAATTAATTAAATTTTTTATCTAAGGTCTTGGTTGAGATGAAAAAGTTAGCGATACGTTAATAAATTACACCAATTTCAATCAACCAAAAAAATTTCGCTATCTTCAAATCATGAGACTTTGGCGTTTGAAAATTGTGTTGTGACGTGATGGATTTTTGATTTCTGAATTGGTTGGACGAACTTTGCGTGGGCAGAGGCCGTTGTTGTGTTTGTCCAAATTAGACAAGTGATTAGACAAGTGTTTGGGTGCTTTTTGTGGAATGAAGTTTTAGTTATGGGCAGTTTAGTATAATGATAGGTAACTATTAAATAATAGGAATGCCACCCAGCAGACCATTTACAAAATCCAAATGGTTTCATTGGTACCGCTGTCCTCTTAAATCTTCTGTAACGCGCCTGTGAGGCTTAGAATTGGGGTTACGGTTAAGTTGTTCTTTTCAAAATACAAAACCTCGAATCTGGAAAAAGTTTTTTCAGTCAATTCCCGAGGTTGATGAACGCTTGACTGTTGCACTGCGTTTGAAAACTGTGTTATGACCGTGATGGATTTTTGATTTCTGAATTTGTTGGACGAACTTTGCGTGGGTTGAAGCCGTTGTTGTGTTTGTCCAAATTAGACAAGTGATTAGCCCCGGTGCCCCGATGTCTGGTTCTCAAGGCAACGCAACAATTAGATCGATATCAATATTGAGTAGAAAACGACACGCGAGACGCCCTCTTCAAATTTTTTCCCCTCTGACTCATAGACATCGGCGACGGCTCGTTTGAAATCTTTATCGGACGAACTTCCACGCTGGATAATTCGGTTTGTTAAATAGGCCGAATCATCCAAAAAAATTAAACTTACATTATCAATAAACAAAATGATTCAATTACATTTTCAATTTAAGGTTTCCAGTCCAGCAAATGTTTCTCATTGCAGACCGTGTTTTCCCTATTGAGCGCAAAGAATATTGTATGGGAGCCTTGATGTGGCTTTGACAGCCCCAAGGTTTTCCCGTACAAATTAAAGCAGGCCCTTCCAAATATCCTTTACTTAATCCTCCGCTCTTATCTAACAGAGCGGGTCTTTTGGGTCTATTAAAGATCACTCCGAATATTGCTCTTTCAGGAATATCGCAGGGCAGTGTGCTTGAACCAATCCTCTACATACCTTATAACGCAGAAATTCCCTCTACGCCTATCACCCTCCTTGCATCATTAGCCGATAATAAAGCTGTATTGACCCAAATCCAGGGACGTACCACACATATAGCAGATTGGTGAAGTATAGACAATGGAAAATGAAGATAAATGAAAGCAAGTCCATGTCATATTTATAATCCGAAGCAAAACTCCTCTCACATTATACTACAACAATGTTCCTATCCCCAAATCCGACTTCGTTTGTTAACTTGCGTCCCACCAAGATTCACGCTTAACATTGAATCAGCATGGACGACTAAACAGACGCTACGATCGACTCTATAGGACGACAATCCACGCTATTGTTGAAAAACAAAACCTACAACCTACAAAACTCAATTACACCCGATGCGGTCATATGGAATAGAACTGTGTAGAACAGCTAGAAGTTCGGTATCCAACGTCTGTAATCCATGGAAAGAAGGAAGGGGATGTGTTATTAGTAACTGCTTGAAGGTGGCAGGAAAGGAATGAAAAACTAAAAACAAACAGAGTAACTATACCCTAAATTGATTGTTGGATTGTATAATTTGTATGTATTGATGAGGTAATACAATTGCCCGCATACCACAGCTTATAAGCCTTCAAACTTAAATGATAACAATTGTATAATTATTTGGTTGTTCTTTTGAGAATTAGGCTAGATGTTTTACATTGATAATATCATCTACTAACTAACACTAAAAATAATATTAAAATATTTTATATTTAACTGCGCCTACATTATAAAAAGTTAAGGTTGTTTCCAAATTCCATCCTATCACTTGAGATAAAGCTGATACATTTTGGAAGGTCGTTGTGGTCAAAGTGAAACTCTGTGGTTAACTTGAAATTTGAAACAAAAGGTAGATTAAGCATTTGCTTATTAGCTTTTTTCAGAGTGATTTCTGTTTTTAAACTCTCGCATTAATTTATTAATCTAACATGTCTAAAAGTAATATCAGAAGGGAGGGTGATTGTACAAAGGAAGTTCAGAGGCATTAAATTATTTTTCTCCCTGAGCAATTCATCAACAAATTGTAATTAAAAATAAATTTCATTGATAATTTAGTTTTTATTTATTTGAGGCTAAATTTACAAGGGAGTTGATTTGTTTTGTATAGAAACGTACCACAGGGTAGTACCGAATTCCCCAGACTCTGAGGTCAATTGACGTAGTGATCACAATTATACCTGAAATCATCTTAAACATATCGAGAAGTTATTGTATGTTATCAATATCGAATGCTTAAAATTAAAACAAATCAAACATTTGTTCGTAGCAAAATCACCTGCGACAAAAAATTTCGACGAACAAATTTTCAAAAAGGGAATATAGTGTCCATAAAAAAACTTCGATAACCTGTGAATGTAGTATTTTGGGTACCGTAAGCTGGCATATAAAAAAATAAATTTGAACCACTATATCGATTATTGAGAAAAAATGTAAATTTAAACGTGTGGTGATTAGGTGTGGTAAATTTGAAAAGGCCTTTAATATGATAAATTCATCAGAGAGAAATAGAAAGTGGAAAAAGAGTGAGAGTGAATGAGAAAGAAAAAAGAAAGAAAGAGAGAGTGTAGTGAGTGAATGGGAGAAATAGAAAGGAAGAGTAAGTGAGACATAATGAGAGAGAGGTTGAGTGAGTAAGTGGGAAAGAGAGAGAAACAGCGAGAGAGAGAGAGAGAGAGAGAGAGAGAGAGAGAGAGAGAGAAAGGAAGTCATTGGACAATTGAAAAGGAGAGAAAATAGTGGAGTCTTTCGAGACAGATACTTAGTAATTATTAAAAATAGCCATACAGCAAATTTGTCATCTGTGAATTTGTCGCTGGATCTATCGGTGTCCCTGGTGACTTGGCGGTTGAGTCAGAAGTGTGACATTTAACTGCATTCCCGTCGCATGCATCTTTTGAATAGGAGCGTCTGTCAGTCGTCCTTTCGAGTAAATGGGCCAATTGGGATCTGTTAACAGGCGTGTTCAACCCAAAGCCATTCTTTAGAAATCTTTATTGAAATTTATTCGAATCGGCTTTTTATTTCACTTCCTAAAAGTTGATTCTGTAATAACTGATCTTTTAAAGGCCTTTGTTGAATAGTTTAAAGTAATCTTTTTAATCCTACAAAGGGGAAAATGGTAAATTCCTATCTTTAAAGCGAGTAAATAAATCACGACAGGAAACATTGTACAAAATCACATGTCACCGAACAAAATGTGGGTTTAACAGAAACAATAAGTAAATCATCGAGAATTTTCTTGAGAGACATCTGAAGAACTGTGAAAAGTTTGAAAAAAATCTGACCTTACTCCTGCACTCCAGCTGTGTACTATAAATAAATACCTTACACAACAGCCGGACATCTGGGCATGGTATGGAATCTTAAACTTATAAATAAATTATGGTTAGACGTCTTTGACATTTAATGTAACGTTTTAACTACTGGGATTTTGCGTGTACAGTACTCTCTTGCTAATCCGAACAGTGATACTCCGAACATTCCAGTAATTCAAAATAGTGAGAGAGATTGAGAGAGAAACTGGAAGAGGGAAAAAATGAGTGAGTGAGAAAGAAAGAATAAATGAGTAGTAAATGAGTGAGAAATTGGGAGCGAGAGAAAAAGGGAATGAGTGAGAAAGAAAAAATAAGTGAGTGAATAAATGAGTGAGAGAGAGTGAGTGAGTAAATGTGTGAGAAAAAGAGAGATTAGTGAGTGAGAGACTGAAAGGGAGAGAGAGAGAAAGAAAAAAGTGTGTGAGTGAGTGGGAGAGAGAGAGAGAGAGAGAAAGAAAGAAAGAGAGAGAGAGAGCAAGTGAGACAGTGTGAAAGAGAAATTGAGTGAGTAAGTGGGAGTGAGAGAAAAGAAAGATTGAGCGAGTGAGTGAGAGAGAAAGAGTGAGTGAGTAAATGAGTGAAAGAAAGACCGATTAGTGAAAGTGAGAGAGAGAGAGAGAGAGAGAGAGAGAGAGAGAGAGAGAGAGAGAGAGAGAGAGAGAGAGGGAGAGAGAGAGAGAGTCTGTGAGTGAATGCGTTAGTGAGAATTCTTACACAACTCCAGACCCTATAAAAGATTTCGTTATACTTACTTCTTTTTGAACAACGAATTCTTCCTTTTAATTTTTTTAATTCATTCATTTAATTCATTCTATATTTCTCAATTTATCATAGATAGCAATTTATGTTTGAATGCTGCAGTCATTACACGATACATGAGTTACACCCACATTTTTAATTGTTTTTTAAAATTTAAAACCTCCTTTTAGTAAAAAATAACAATTCAACAAGGTGCCTACAATGAGGTAATCGATTTTTGAACAGTTTACTCTAATGGGTTCGTTACTGCAAAGAAAAGTAGACGGGGGAGAGTAGCGGATTTGCAAGTCAATGAGGGAGCCAATCAATTTTTCAAAGCTGCTTTGTCTACACCTAACTGAACAATTGACAATGGCGCGCAACCAAATTGTTTATGTTCTTTTATTTGGTATCCATATATTTTGTAAGTTTTGAAACATTTTTGGGCTCTGCACTGCCTTATTATTCCATGTGTAAGGGTGCGCACCCTCAGTTGATCTAATAAGTATTTAAAAAAATAATATTATAGTGTTTTAAACAAAATAGTGGAAGTAGTTTACGTTGTTGGGACAAGTAATGCGCAAAAAGGGCGTGCTTAGTACCAGAATTAATGCCGATAGGTAATTGAAAAGTTGTTTGTGAAGAATAAAAACTGTAAGGTCAGCAGACTTGTCAAATCACAGATGGGAGCCTATAAAGAACCTGATGAACGTTTTGCCGAGGTGCACATATACCTCATAAGCAGCATACAACCTTCAGAATATAACAATTACGCTTTAACGTATATCAACATATTTACCAATTAGATAAAAATCATTCCTTTGAACAATACAACTGGTAAGACGACAACTAAGGCTTGTTATCACAATTGCATATCGCAATTCGGAGTACCTAAGCGTGTAATGTGTACTGACCTAGGTAGGCAGTTATATTCTACTTTATTCAAACATTTCAGTGCATTGAGTATACACACCTTACCACTACAATGCAATGGCAAAATAAAAAGACTGCATCCAACAATAACAACTTTGAAAGCGTACAACACGTTACACGGAATCATTGCCCATATTCCTTTGGGGTCTACGAGCAGCTATTCATTCTGAAACCAGCGCTTCGATGTCCTTGATGTATGGAAAGACAATAAATTTCTGGCGAATTCAGCCGACTCAGCGCATTCAAGATCCAGGAGGTTTGGTCGCAGATCTGCAACTCAAACCTGTAATAGACAAGCACAAAACTGGAAGAAGTGTATCCGTGCCTAAGTAGTTAAAAGTCTGAACACATGTATTTGTAAGACTCGACTAGTTAAAAAAACCTTTGGAATCTGCGTATGAAGACCCATTTCCTGTTCTTTCACGAAATGATAAATACTTTTATGTAAAAATCAATGGAAGAGACGCCATGGCAGGAAGTCTACCTACCTTCTCGTAAATTTTCTGAACCAGTGCAGCTACAGCCCAAATCAGCACAATTAAGCAGCGGGCAGATCATATCCAAAGGCCTCACCAAAACTTCAAACGAGCCAACTACTGCTTCGCTAAAAAACAAACTCAAACAAAAATTGGAAAAACGATGAATTTTCCTTGACCTTTTTTTGCGTGAAATAGCAAATAGGTGATTATTTAGTTACATACTATAATGTGCTAAAGTGAAGTGTTGTCTCTTCCATTACTGTTACTTTTGCCTCGAAAATAATCTGGATCTTCGGTCGGTCAGTTGGATGAAAAACAAATTCCCTTCTCCCTGCTGAGCTTTTGACTTATTTTCAGGTCATCTCATGGCAAAACAATCTTAAAGATGTCTACAAATTTACATAATTAAGTCTTTTTTAAAGGATGGTTTCAAATTTGTTTTTGTCTTCGCACTGTCAAGTCTCTAACGCCATTCGAACTTAAAACAGGTCGAAAGATCCGCAGATAACAATTGAATTTGTTTTATATCCAATCGACCGTATCAACAAGAGGACAACGACCAGGTTGATAAGTCGAGGATTTGGGCCAAACTTTGGCGATTCTTCACTCCAAAATATCGGACACATTGTATCCGCCACTACTTCTGAATAGAGATTTCGCCATTTAAAAAAAAAAAAATTTTTATTTTATTTTTTTTAAGTGGAAATTTTTCGTTTTTTAATATTTTTATTTACCAGTCCTACTTTTACGTTCCTCTTCTTTCAAATCGCATGTTTGACGTGAAAATCCTGATAGCCGTTTTCTAATTATAGGCGTGTCAATCAGATATTGAACGCCTTATAACGATTTCTCTCAAAAATCGGAAAAATTTTAGGGGTCAAAAATCGATAAATTTAAATTCAAGCAAAAATTTAAAGTTAGGGGTCTCTAGAGGTGCTAAAACGAAATCTCATATGAGCTTCTCGAAAAAAAATGTTACGACCCAGTTTACATTCAAAATATTTAGTTTTTAGAAATGTATTGATAAATTTGGATAGCTTTTACTAAATTTTGTTGAAATATACATATAGTTGATTGTGGAGTGTTGAGCAAGTAGAACAGGGGAATAAAAATATTAAACAACGGAAAACCAGGACCTATCTACTAGAAGTGATTTTGGTGTGTAGAATCATCAAAAAAGGTTTGGTCCAAATAAGTGATCCACCAACCTGGTCGTTTCCCTGCAAGATCCATATTATTCGTGTGTTATTGTTTCATCGCCAAACGCCGTGCAAATTTTACGACTTGCTTCGGCCGCCTTATTACCTAGGATAAAGTCATAAAATAAGCTCGCATGAATTAATGGGTTGTAAATGCATGATAATGAAGACATTTTATAATTTACAGTGAACTGTTCAAAACACTTTTTCTTTATGAATTAACTCATTGTCCTCTTGGTATTACGTGATGTAAACACATAATCCTCCTAGTAAATAGAAATGTTAATTAAAGGTATTATATAAAACAATAACAAATGAAAAACCACACAAACTTTCATGGTTTACTGGTAATTGGAGTAACAGAGTCCTTGTTACCAATATGAACCATAATTTTAGCATTTTTTTCCCTGGATAAAACAAGATCTCCAAATAAATTTTTTTTTCCGAATATGAAGTGAACTAAATTTATGTTGGGTTATGTGTACTATAAGAATTATATGAATAATTATTTTGTAAACAATTAGTATGCTATGTTACGCCTCACACCTCTACGTTAATTGAGCGTTCACTCTATAATTCTAGTCGATTACAACTGAGCCTGGAGAAAATTCATCATCGGCCGCACCTAGATCAAAATAAAAAGAAAAAGATCTTCTTCTTTTCAAGTTACTCCAACCTTTCACAATTTTATTCCATAAAGGCCCCAATATCTAAAAAAAGAAAAAAAATCTGCTATAAATTTGATTACATCAATGGAATTTGAATTGAAATTTTATGAAGTCCATTTGTTATGGGTTTTTTGTCGTAACTTTAAAAAGTAAAAATACATAATCACTTATAAGATCAATTGTACTAATTTGTAAAGTTCGTGTGTAAAATTTAAGCAAGATCTTCTTGGTTGTGTAAATACTGACAAATATGGCGATTACAGAAAATTTCCCCCTTCTAATCAGCATTAATCTCTGTACTTAATTGTGCAAAAGGTCAGTTATCACCCATGTAAAATTTCGTTTAATCGCCAAAAATTCGATTTTGGATTAAATAATGAAAATAACGCAAAGAAAACAAGCCTGACATTGATTCCTGTCATATTTGAATACTGTCGAGACATCGGCCTATTTCACATCCCTAATAACAAGACGAATCCTATCTGTGAAATAGTCCTTAGCCTTTTCGGGATTGGTTCTAGCAGGCTAAAACGCTATGTGAGCCCATCCTAATTTATTTTTCATCGAAATTCGAATCGCTCTTAATCAGAAAAAGAGTTGTATTTAATTGAAAATTTATTTAACACAAAAAGTATTTATTATCACACAATAACCATTAAAATATAATAACCGAAAATGAATAAATAAGATTACTGATTTTTTAGGTCAAGTACATACATACCCGCGAGTAGAGTTAAAAAAATATATATACAGGGTGTATCAACTTCTATAGCCCACCAGCTTTTTTAAAGTCTTAAGGAAAATTTTGGTGGGATCGACTATTTCTGAGTTATGCCCGTCGGAAGACGCGTGAGGGGTATGCTTTTAGTAACAACTAGATGGTCCTACCCATTTATTTCGAAAATATACTATCAAAATTTTCCTTTCAGTAAAAGTGGCATAATATAAACTCTTGAATCGAAATGTACAATAAAAATATGGAATTCTCATTTAAAATAACAAATTTAGTGTCATTTACCAGCTAGATGAGAAAGTGATATTAAATCTGTTACCATCACACGATTCCTAGCCAAAATTACCTTGGGGTTCGTATAAGACCATTTTTGGTAAAGTTAATCGTTTCCGAATTAAATGGGTAGACTTTAGAATTTGATGCACCCTTATATGTGTATAATATCGTTGAACGCGACGATGTGATAACTAAAACTGAGGGCAATTGGCTGACAAGAGGCGAAAATCAGAACGACTATAGGGTAGAAGGTAGGGAAGGGTTCAGAAAGGCAGGGGCAAGAGGAAGAGAAAAGTAGGACATTGTGGCCGAATGATTTCCCAGAAAAATTGTATCCCAATTTCGCAAAAGTTTGAGAGCGTCCAGATTTGTCCAGAAGGGGAATAAAAGAGTGGTTCGCTGATGATGACGACAGGAAGGGTTGGGAAATGGCGTCCTTTTACTACCGAAGTGTCTGCTACATATTGGATACAACCTCAGCCCAACAGATGCCGTGAGTGTCCAGCCAGAGCTCTTAAAACGGAAAAAACTCAGGAGTATAAAATAACTGGTCACAAGGTCTGGGGTATAAGCCCAGACGAGAAAACGCGTAATGAGTCCCGAGGTTAGTTGTCACATGAACGGAATGGACTTCATTTTATCCCCCATATGTAGAAGTCCATCGGGGTTAAAACTGTGTCTTTAGCCATTAAATGAACCCACTACGACCTATTCATCGAGATCGAAGTACTGTCCATCCATTTGGAAACATCTCTCATTGTATGACGGGTACTAATCGGAAGACGAGTCCTTTAGGCAATACCATTCATTATCGGCCCAATTATTAATCAATATGAGACAATCCGTGGAATTCAGTTGACGGGTAGTATAACAGGCTCTGACCTGTGAGAAATTAGGTTCTTGGGTTTTCTGCAAGTAGGGGCAACCTTTACTCCTTACCTGTAGCACTATATCTGCCAATATTTTCAGAACCAAGAAAATCTTGTTTAAACTTTAAACCAGTAAATTCCAAACAAGGAACTTACAGCATTAAAGACAATGATTTGATCGAAAATTCTTGACTACTATTAATATTTAAAACGACTGAAAAAACCAAAACGCTTTCATGAAGTTCATCGAGTTTGGGTGCAAGTGACAACAACGGCCAAATATCTCGGATAGAGACTTGTTGTACATACATAGTAAGTTTAAACACATATTTATTTAAAATGACTGAAGACGCTAACAGCGCGTTAAACAGGAATAGAAGCAAACTGAAAACACAACAGGTATCGTCCTTCTTCCACAGACTACAAAACGGAAGCTGCCTATTTGAAATGATGTCGACAAGGAGTATTTATTTTGCAATAATAATCGAGTATAACAAGGCGCGGAAGAGAAACGGAGGAGTTTTTGGCATGAATCGTCCGCTGAGGTCAACATCCTTGCAGACCTTGCAATCACTTTCATACTACGCTGAGACCGGTCTTAAAAATAACCTGAGGACCGGTCTGTAACTAACTCGCCTGCACGCAAGACAACCTCTTCGACCACTTTTCCTTTTCAGGATTACTATTTTTATATCATAACATTAACATATAATATAAAATTACAAAGGGAAGTAAGTAGAATATAATAAATAGAAATTATAAAAATTTAAAAATTGTGTTATAGTTGATGGATTAAGGTCAACTAGTTCAAAGCATAGTGTATTATACCCACAGAAAAATAATCCGCCGAGTTTCGATGATATCTAGGTATCTTGGTTTCATAATGGGTGTGAAATTTTCTCATTTGCAATGCTCGTATGACCTCAGTCGTACAGAAAACAAGAACCCGAATGTCCGGATGAGTCCAGTTATTATTACTCTGCACAAACAACTGTTGATTCGATCTGTATGGATGTTTTATCTTGTTTTCTGCCGACATAAAAAATTCTAGGCTTGTACATCAATGACGTGATGAAGTTTTAAAGTTCATTTTACGAACCACTAAATTCACAATTACTTGTTACTAACAAAATTTGATAATCAATAAGAATAGACCTTAGAAGCCTCAAATCACGATCTTCACCATGGGTATTGCTCAAAGTACTAAGTAGTGACAGCGAAGAAACAAGCAATTAATGCATTTTCATAACTTTCTGCATGGACTACCACCGGGTACTTTCTAAGCTACATTTACTTAGTCCATAATGTTTTAGTTAACAATTAATTATCTAAACTGTAATATACAAAGAACAATAAAGCTATTTAAATTAAAAAATAAACAAACAAAAATAAGAAACATTACAAAGCTAGTTATGTTATGTGTGACAATCTGTAGTTATAGGCAGGTATGTGTGAAATATATTTCTGTATTTTATTAATTTCATTTCGACTGGAAATATTCGACACAATATCAGTTGGAAATAATGAATATTTTCGCTTTTCTATCGCCCACCCTTAAATTCTTAGCATTCATCTGGTATCTCGCATATGACACTCCCGGCTTTTAGGACATCGTCAGCTATTTCAGGCATTTCTTTATCAGGAAGACGATCTTTGCGACTCCGCGATTTATATGGGCGTCTCCGTAGGATCGTCGCTTCCGTTTATACCTGTAGTGGTCACGCCTTTCTATTTTTTTTTCTTTTTAACCCCTAAGATAAACTCTTGAGTCGAGTTGTGACGTTTGACCGACCGGACGTGCCACTGCGCCCACATTTCCGCCGTTGTAAACTGTTCTAACAATTTATTTTATAGGGATGACGACTTGAATAACCACCATCCATGCCATATGTCGAATTAAGGCTTAATCGACACTCATTATAAAT